TTTGATATTTTCCTACCACCAAATTTGGAAACTGAGTCACAAGGTATCAAGGGATTCTGTGAGCTAGGCGCATGTGGCTCATGCCTGTAATCCTAGGTACTGAGGAGGCAGAGATCAGGAGAATCATGGTTCCAAGCCAGCCAGGGCAAATAGTTGGCAAGATCCTATCTTGAAAAAACCCATCACAAAAAAAGGGCTGGTGGAGTGGCTCAAGGTGTAGGCCCTGAGTTCAAGTCCCAGTACTGGAAAACAAAATAAAATAAAAGGAATGCTGTGAACTGAACCCGAGGCAGGTTCAAGTACGGGATTCGAGGCCACTATTGATTCTCAGTTCTGTCTTGGCCAGCTCTCCGTTCTCTCCTTCTGTAAGTTAAAACAAAGAGGCTGGAGCCTTGTTTCTCAACTCTCCCTCTCCCCGCCTTGCCAGTTCCCGAAGTCGTTTTCTTCTCCTGATTGGGAAGGATCCCGAAGGAGGCCAGAACCTTCCAGTCCTATCAGGCCCAAGACCAGCTTCTACCGAAGCCTTCCAGCTCCCACTGACACCAGGAGCGCCAACTCTTCGCGGGGGTAAGGGGGGACCACACGGACCCACGGCCTGTCCCGCAATCCACAGCTCCTCTTCCTCCCCGCTGGGCTCCCCCACACGCACACCGCCGCTGGGAGCACGCTGCGGGGCCTTCCCCAGGCTTCCTGCGCTTGCTAGCTCTCCGAGGCGCGGGTGGGGGCGAGGAGGGCTCTGCAGCCGGCAGGAACCCGCGCCCTGCCTGCTCCGTCCCCCCCAGTAAAAGAGGGCTGTCAAATTCCGGAAGAGAGATTAGAGGCAGGGGATGGGTGGGGCGGTGAATCAGTACATTCCTTCCTCCCCCTGCCTCCTCCTCCTCGGTTATCACTCTTCGGAGAGGGTTGGGCCCTCTCATGGCCTCCTTCTGACGGGTCCACTGGCAGGGTCCAGACGACCACGCAATGCTAGGCGGGAAACTCCCATGCTCATCGGAACTCTTGTGGAGTCCGGGTCGCTTCTTTTGCAGCTCCTGACCCCATTTGCTTTCAAGGCAGGGGAATCTTAGTTGCTTCCAACTGGGTCCCGTCCATGAGTTCTTCCTAGGCCTGCCTGTGCGTTTGTTAGCAGCTCTGATTTATTGAGCAGACCCCACTGAGAGGTAGTGTCGGTTCCTCTTCCTAAAAACCGTAGTGTTACAGGTTAAGGAATATGAAAGCTTAAAGACACGTAACTTTCCCAAGGTTACACAGTGGCAGACCCAGGAATAACCTGAGCTCTGTTGGTTGCATAAATTTCCCACCACACCCTGCCACTTCCTTTACTTTAGGCTCAATGTCAAGACTTGTTTGTAAGAAGGTAGGGAAGTAACATTTATGGGCCACTGTGCCAGCAACTTTAAACCTATTATCTTTAATCATTTGGTTTTTGCAACCCTACCATGCAATAGGTCTGATCACCATTCCCATATTACAGAAGAGGAAACTAGAGGTCAGGAATTTTAACTTACAGAGCTGATATTTCAGTACAAATGTATTACTAAGCCTATGCTCTTTCTGAAACCACAGCTAATGTCTTCACAGTGCTTGACAGTTTACAGCACTTTCAAATGCTTCATTTCAGAGCTATCTTTCCATGTGGTAGATGAGGACAGAGGTTCACTCACAAAGACATCTGTCCAAGGTCACAAAGCTTATAGTGAGTAGCAGAACCTGTAATCCTAGGTACTCAGGAGGCAGAGATCAGAAAGATCCAGGTTCAAAGCCAGCCCAAAGAATTAGTTTGAGAGACCCTATCTTGAAAATACCCAACACAAAGCAAGGTTTGCAGAGTGGCTCAAATGGTAGAGCACCTGCCTAGCAAGCATGAGGCCCTGAGTTCAAACCCCAATACTGCAAAAAAAAAAACAAAAAACTGTAATTTTATTTAAAAAAATATTGAGACAGGAGCTCATTAGATATGCCAGGTATATTGAATTTGATATCCTCCTGCCTCAGCCCCTTGAGTGCTTGAGTGCTGGGATTATAAGTGTGTGCCATCACATCTGGCTTTATTTAATTTTGTCTAGAGATAGGGTGTTGTTATGTTGTCCTGGTAGGCCCCGATCTCCTGGGCTCAAGTAATCTTCCTGCCTCAGCCTTCTAATTAGCTGGGACTACAGGCTCTACTATACCTGGGTATAGCCTCCAATTTTAAAATAAACTCTACAAAGCCAATAGTATCAGGGCTCATTCCATTCATTTATTCCATACTACTAAGTATCATTCTAATAATTATATTAGTTAACATTAATTGAACATTTACTGTGTGTCTAGTAGAGTGCTTCATGAGTTATGTACATTAACTCCTCAAGGTTCAAACAATGTTGTGAGTAGTGTTACCTTTTCCATTTTATAGAGGGGAAGTTGATACTCAGATGAAGTCACTTGCCAAGGTTACACAGCAAGTACATGATAGTGCAAGGATGCCAGATGAAACTGTAGACTGGGAACTCTGGCCCAACCCCAACACCCGAGTTTCTTTGCTATTATCACCATTATTTCTTTTCCTAACTGCTGTGTGTGGCAGGCCCACACAGCTTCTGCTTCCAAGGAGCTAATATGCTATAAAATCAGCCAAGAATACCACCAGCTTTGTCTCACAGGGGTGTTGGGAGGATTAATAAGTTAATGGCACTTGGAATGCTTCAGCAATGGCCCTGGATAAACTCAGGTCACTTATGTGTGAAACTCATTGCCAAGGGTGGTTCATGCTTTAATAAGGCACCTGCAGCCCAGTTCCTGATGTTTGCAGCCCTCCTAGGGAAACCATTTCAATGTCAGAGGCTTGGGCATCTCTGTGCTGGCCTGGGGTAAGGGGAAAGTGGTGGTGCAATGGCACTTTCAGGCCTTTCACTCTCAGAGGAGGGGATGTCTCATCCCAGAAGGCTTTCCAGCTTACTCTGAGGGACATAAATTGTTGACGTCAGAAACTAACACGATTATTTGGGCTCCAGAGGCACAAAAAACCTGGGCCAAATCCTATTTCTGTTATTTCATTTCTCTGAGCCTCTGTTCCAACTTAAAAGGGTAATAATGCCTTCCTCACAGAGTTATTCTTTAACATAAACTTGATAATACATTTAAAAACACCTCACTCAGGGCTTAGAATAGAGTCGATGCTTAATAATTGGTCATTATCATAGCCATTTTTGTTACCTTTATGTTTTCTATTATTTACTGGTATTTTAGGGCCACGCTGAGGGCCAGATGAAAGGAAGACTCATTTGTTCAACAATCTACTAGATCAGTCTAAGCAGGGAAGAATCACGAAAATAGGCATTTACAATATAAGGTTATCAGTGCTATGATGGGATAGGCATAAGATGTTTGAAGAACTTAGGGGCAGACTCAGTAACCAGGAGATGTAGCAAAAGTTTTGCAGGGAAGGTAATTCTTCCCATGCAGTCTGTGCTTCTAGGAAGTGGAAAATGCTGCCTGCTGGAGGAAAGTAAAAGGCAAGTAGCAGCTGAGTCCCTCCTCACCCAGGGACCTTGATTCTAATCTCCTCTCGCTCCTCAAGGCCTCTCAACTCCCACACAGCCCTGCCAACCAGCCAGCCAGTCAGCCGGTCTGCCTTGCCCTAGAATACCCCCTTTTGGGCCACCTGCTGGTGGTAAACATCCTGGTTCTGTGCTGTGGCTCGTTGCGGCTGAGTCATAAGACCTTCCCTTTTAGTGCTGAGCTCTAATGGAAACCTTCTGGTCAGGAGCAATGCCCCAGGTCTGTCTTGTGGGGAAGTGCTAATGATGACTGACCACTGCTTTTCCCCACAGGGCAGAACGAACGTGTGGTGGTGAGGTGCGAGAGAGGCAGAGGGGAAAAAAAAGGGGCATGTCATTTCCTTCTAGGTAAGTTGGGCAGGTGAGACTTCCCAGGGTGGATAGAGAGCACAGATCTTCTTTCCCCACCCCCAACTCTCTTGGGGGAGCCTCCTCCCTTCCTCCCAAGCCAGCCTCCAGGGCTTTACTGGCTGCCATCTGGCAGTGGCTCAAACCAGTCTCCCAACTCACTGGTGACCACATTTTCCAAACCAAAACTCAGGACGCATGATCTGGCAGAGAATTTCTGGCCATCTTCCAAACTCAAGAGGCAAAAACCCTTTCCACTTAGAGAATCTCTAGGATAATCCGTGTCGTTAAAAGGGACATTAGTTAGGTTGGAAATCTTGAAATTCAGGGTCTCCTTTTTGTCAGGCATTTTCCCCCTATACTTTCTATTATATCTGAAAAGAGATCCATAAAGCAAGTAGCTGATTATTATTTCCGTTTAAGAGTTGAGAGTACTTAAAGAGGCAATCACTTTTCCAAGTTCAAACATCCTGCAGACCGAATTTGGGTCTGACTAGGGAGGGTTCTGAAGTCTGTGTATCTTGCGGGCGGAGGTGGGGGTTGGAGAGCGGTGCAGAAATATCCTTCGCGAAGATGCACTCGCCATTTGAGGCCTCCAGGAAGGGCAGCCAAGAGCTCAACTGCCCAGGTTTCCACTTCTGAGCTGGAAATCCCCAAGCACGGGGCTCGGCCGCCACCCCGTCCCATCAGGACCTGGCCCCAGGTCGCAGTTCGCACGGCCTCGGAGCGGGAATAAAGCACAACGACCTTGCCGGTCAACCGGCTGCCGCGGGTCCTTGCCCCAGCCCAGGTGTGGATGGGCGGGGCGCAGCGTGGGCTGGCGACACCCCGGGCCATTCGGCACTAACATTTCCCCCCCCCCCCCCCCCGGTCACATGGATGCGCCTTCCGTAGCCTGGAGTGCGGCGCGGAGCGAACCACGAGGAGGAGCGAGGGGAGGCGCCGAGGGCAGTGGGTCAGCGCCCGCGGGGCAGATGGGCGGGGCCAACCGCCCGGCGAGCGGCCGACAGCCAGTCAGCAGCGCCGAGGGCGGTCCGGCCGCCGAGCGCGCCGCGCCCCGCAGCGCCCCCTGAGGGGCGGCGGCGGGAGCTGGTTCCGGCTGCGCGCGCAGCGGCGGTGGTGGTGGCGGCGGCGCGATCGCGATCGGCCAGGCTGTAACCGTCGTCCGTCCCGGGAGCGGCTGGAGCGGTAGCGGCGGCCGGGCACGGTGCGAGGCGACGCCACAGGGCAGCAGCGGCAGCGGGGGCAGCGGCGGCAGCAGGAGACGCAGCGGCGGCCGAAGCAGTAGCAGCAAGACGGACTCGTGGACACGCGCCGCCGCAGCCGCCGCCGCCGGGCCGGGCCGGGTGTCGCGCGCCGAGGCTGGGGGGGAGTCGTCGTCGCCGCCGCCGCCACCACTACCGCCGCCGCCGCCGCCGCCGAGGTGACTGAGGAGAGAGGCGCCTCCTCGCTCCCGCCGCCGCCGGACTTCAATGCCCAGTCCCCAGCTCGCCAGCGTGAGTGCGCCTCTCCCGGCGGCCCCGCGCGGCCCCCGGGCCGAGCTCGGGAAGGGGAGGGCGGGAGGCGCCGCTGCCATTAGAGCAGGCCCGAGACACGTCCCCGGAAGGAGGGCCGGGCCGGGCCGGGGGCGGGGAGCGCGGCGGGCAGCGTGGAGCGCGCGGGTGGGTGACCGGCCGGCGGGGTCGTGGGAGTGGCAGAACGCGGTCTGCAGTGCGTGCGTGGACAGAGGCGGTGGGGGCAGTGTCGGTGCGGGGGAGCCTGGAGGGGGGAGAGCGGGAGCAGCGTGCGTGCAGGGGCGAAGGTGAGAGGCGATCTTGGGGTGCGCAAGGGGGTGCCTGTGTTGGTCCCCCGTGGGAGCATCGTGGAGGCCCTGCCCTTGGTCTTTGTGTGCGTTGGTAGTGAGCCCTAGTGTCTGGGGCGAGGGAGTTTCCTAACCCAGAGCTCCTAGCGTGAATTCAAGTTAAGTCTTCCGCGGACACTGTGATCTCTGACACTGGGATCTCCCCACTACCTCCCTCGCCAGAAGGAATGTGGCTTTTATTTTTTTTTCTTTCTGTAATTTCCTCCACCCCCATTCCACCCCCTCATTTTATGAAGTTGACACGAATTGCCGAATTTGTCAAAGATGCGTTTTCCATTTACTCCGGGAATTCTGAGCGCTAACACACACAAGCTTGGCTCTTGCCCGAGATCCTACGTTTTTGCCTGTATAAACTTTTTTTTTTTAAAGAACTGATAATTTTTCAGGTAAAAGATAACCTTGTTAGGCATAGTGAACTATCTTAGGTTGTGATTCCTTCCTGTCCTTCTGGAGGAAAGCTAAAAAATAATAGTATAACGTTGATCAAGAAAACAGGTTACTTTATGATTTCCTGGAATTTGTTAAATAATGTAGAAAGTGACCGGTTGCAGCCTCACTGTAAGCATTCAGCAAATGCTTGTCGATTTGGCGTCACTTAACCGTAGCCACTGCTGGATTAATATAAGATACTTGTTTCAGTGCTCAGTATTACCACTTTCAGGCAGGAAGTGAGTTTGTTAAGTGTGCAAAAGGAAATTAAGGTTACTGAAGAATGGTTATCAGGGCTTTAGAATCCCTTGCCACCAGTATACCATTGTGTTGGTGAGAAGTTGCCAGGACTCTTACCTTTTTTTTTTTTTTTTTTTTTTTTTTTGCAGTACTGGGGCTTGAACTCAGGGTGTACACCTTGAGCCACTCCACCAGGCCTCCCCCCCTCCCGCTCTTTTTTTTGGCGGGGGGGAAGGGCTTTTTTGAGATAGGGTCTCACAAACTATTATTCCTACACTGGCTTCAACCAGCGATCCTCCTGAACTCTGCCTCCTGAGTCGCTGTGGTTACAGGCGTGAGTCATTGGCACCCGGCTATTTTTTTGTTTCCTATTGAGTGGACTAATCATTGTTATTGACTCTTCCCATTTGGTGTTGTGGAAGTAGGGATTGCTGATGAAGACTACCTTGATAGCGGTTTTATACCATAATGATGTAATCGTAGACAATTATGATGCCTCTTAGATGTTGGGAATCGGAGACCTAGCAAGCATGAAGCCCTGCGTTCAAACCCTAGCCCCGCCAAAAAAAAAAAAAAACAAAAAGAAGTTGTGAATAAGCGAAGAATAAAGTGGTTCTTTTGATAATGGGCATAGTAGAATTGCATATCAAAAATCACTGATACGTAGTTAGAGGTCAAAAATTATATTTACTTCAGAGTGTACTTTTTCTCAATCACTAGCAGCATACTTGCAGAAATAGTATTGCCATACTCAGGAAGAAGGGATTAATTAGTATTAAGTGTCTGCTATTTTTCAGGTGCTTTTGTTTTGCTTTTGCTTGTTTCTTTTTTTGGGGCTTGGGGTTTGAACTCTGGGCCTTGAGCTTACAAAGCAGGTTCTCTGCCACTTGAGCCATGCCTCCAGTCCTACTGGTGTTTGTTTTGTTTTGTTTTTAAACATTTTAATTCTCATAGCCATAATAAAGGTGATAGGCATTCTCATTCATTTGATTCAAAATCATTCATTCAATGATTTTGCATTCATTTGGCACATCTAGAGTTGCTTCTGTTTGCCAGGCACTAGGGATAATGGTGATGAGTCTCCATGGACTGACTTAATGGTGATGATATGAAGAGATACAGACTTAAGGTTAAGGAACTTATCCCAGGTCACACAGATAATAACACTTGGCTTAAAAATTGGGGTCTGTCTGACTCTTCAGTCCTGATTTTTCCACTACACCATACTACCCTCTCAATAGGTTGTCTGACTTTGGGATTTCTTACCCATACAGTGACCTAGCATCTTGCACAGATGAAAGCCATGGAAATTAATGGAGAAGACCAAATGACTAGAGGGACAGGGATGGTTTAGGAGATGCTGACTTGAGGCCCTTTGGAGCCTAAGCTAGGCTTTTATGTGGGAGAAGATTCTGCCTTGAAACTCTCTTGGGGCCCCAGGGTGTGTGCTTTGAGACAGTTTTTATGAGGCACCTGGGATATGTCTGGGAGAGGGAAGTCTGATTAAAGAAATATAGCAGCCTTTTATGGTTTTCTTTCTTTTGGGGGTGGGTGGGTAGAGTGTATTTATTGAAGCTAAGAGTCTACTGGAATTTGCTACTTGGTGAAAGTTTCTCTATTGAGATGTGTGGATTGCTTAAATCAGGAGATAATGAAGAGCATGTAAGAAAATATATGTGAAAGCACTTTGTTAATTATAAATTGAACTCCAAGGCAAAGCATTATTACCACTAAGACTTTTTAAAGACCACAGTTTGTTAAATTTAGTAGCTAGAAAAGGCTGGCATTTTAGAACACCTTTACAAAATAAAGTTTAGAATTGCTGAACTGGGTATTTTCTGACTCAGAACAGCAAGTCAGACCACTCCCTCCATGAGTCAGTCAAGTAGTATTTAATTTGAACGAACCAACTTTATAAGCAGAAACCATTTACAACATCATTGAACTTTGATGGCACTAAGGAAGAGTAAATGAATGCTTTTGCATATAGCTATTTTAAAAAGTCTGAAAACGCCATATGTAAATAGTTGAAAAAAAAGTTGTGAACAAGGTAAATGGGATACATTTTTCTTGAGTTAACTTTTTTTTTCTCTTTGGTGCTGGGATTGGACCCACAGGACCTCCAGCCTTGATCTGCCTCTGAGCTGTATCCCCAATCTACACCCTTTCTTCTTCTTTTTTTTTTTTTTTTGGTGGTTCTGGGGTTTGAACTCAGGGTTTCACACTTGCTAGGCAGGTGTTCTACCACTTAAGCCATACCTTCAGCTACCCCTGCCCCGATCTGCCCCACCCCGCCCTGCCCTGCCCTCTTCCACTGAGCTAAATCCTCAACCCTTCTTCCTCCTTTCTTTTTTCGGTACTGGGGCTTGAACTCAGGGCCTACACCTTGAGCCACACCACCAGCCCTTTTGTGTGAAGGGTTTTTTCGAGATAGGGTCTCTCAGAGCTATTTGCCTGTGGTTGTCTTTGAACCTCAATCCTCTTGATCTCTGCCTCCTGAATAGCTAGGATTACAGGCATGAACCACCCGGGCCTGGCTGATTCCGCCCCCCCCTCCCCCCCCCGCCCCTCCCAGGTGCTGTTCCATCAGCAATTAAACTTACTGAATAGAAGTTGGGGATCTTTAAATTTTTTGAGTAACTAGAAATCAGGATCTGTTACATGGTAGAGCAAGTTATGCTTAATGAGTAGGGTAGTGGTAGCGATCTAGTGGTCTTTGGATACTTGTAAAGTCTGACATTAAGCTTCAGTGCTTTAGATTTCAAGCATTCCTTTAGAATCTTTCTGCCAGATCACAAATCATAATATTTAAAACTCAGTAATCCTGTAAGTGGTATTCTTTCAGCTTTCCTCATAAGAGAGTTGGTTTGTAGATTGTTGAATTTCAAGTTTTGGAATCTTAAGTTAAAAGGTGTCTAAGTACATGGCAGTGGATAAAAGTATTTTTTCCTCTTGAGACTTAAGTCTCAAGACTTTAAGTGGATGCCACCAATTATAATTACTTTGGGAAATGGTCACTTGAGTTTATCTGTGGAATATAATAAGAGTCTTATTTTCCATTTTCAACTTCAGAACTATCAAGAATAGAAGTGTCCACGTGGTAGTTTTCTCCAGTTTTTGTCTATGGACTAAACCACATGCCCTAGTTCAGTTGACTTGCTAGCCAGTCTCTTGGGGCTTGATGCCTCATAAGATTGCTTGGTATAGACATGAAGTGTACGTTGTATGTAAATCTTTAGCTTTTTGGAATTTAGAGGGCTATGCTGAGCCAGAAACCATTACTTCCTTAGCACCTCTGAAAGATGCTGCACAGAACTGCAGACTTTATCCAGGTGCCCATAGTGAAGGTGAGAAAATGATCTGTAAGGTAGTTTTTTCTTTTGTTTCTTTTCTTTTTTTAATGGTGCTAGGAATCAAAACTAGGGTCTTGTGCATGGTAGGCAAATGCTCTACCACAGAGGAGCCAAATGCCCAGCCCAACCTAGTTTTTCCTTAAGAGTCTTTTTTTTTTTTTTTGAGGTACCAGGGCTTGAACTCAAGGCCTAAACCTTGAGCCACTCTACCAGCCTTTTTTGTGTTAGGTATTTTTGAGATAGGGTCTTGCGAACCAGGCCAGCCTGGGCTGGCTTTGAACTCTCAGCCTCCTGAGTAGCTAGGATTGCAGGTATGAGCCACCAGCGTCCAGGAGAGTCTTCCCTTAAGGGAGTTTTCCCTGATGTACTTATTTGTTCAATCCCTGTAAGACTTCCCCAGAAAAAATACTTTGAGCAGTTGATTGATTACACCTGTATCTTTTATGTGACTTGAGTACACATTTTTTGTTGTATGCATGATTTTCTTTCTTTCTTTTTTTTTTTTTTTTTGCGGTATGGGGCTTGTACTGGGGCCTTCACCTTGAGCCACTCTATCAGCCCTATTTTGTGAAGGGTTTATTGAGATAGGGACCCATGAACTATTTGCACCGTC